TTTGGCGTCTTTCAGCATGTAGCAGATACGGAAAGGAAGCAAGAACCGACAAAGGGACGAGATAGAAGTCGAGACCGTGATACGCCAAAACGCGAAAGCAGGTTAGAAGGGAAGTTCAATCCGTAAGTAAACCATCTTCTGACACCCGGAACGGCAAAGGTGAGCGCTAATGGCACCGTGCTGTGCAACGCGATGCAGCACGGAACATTAGCGCCGGACGGACGGGTGTCTACCGGCCGGCCCACGCACACCGACGGGCGGGTGCCTACTGGCCCCGCGCGGAGAGTGTCCGTACACGGGAGCATAGATGGCGCGTCGACGGCCACCGACACTACCGAGGAGCGCGCGGCGGGCGCACGAAGTGCGGTGGCACTGACAGTGGGCAGTTTCAGGCCACGGGGAGGAGAGGGCTGGCAGGAGGTGGAGGGGATGGTGCCGAAATTAAGGAAACCGACCGTTCCGGTGGGGAGGCAGCGACGTCGAGGGGTGAGGGATAATGACGTCCGAGACCGCTTGTGGCCGCGCGGTGATGCGATGGCGGAGCTAGAGGAGCACTCGGAGCTGCTGGCGGTGGTTTGGCTGGCCCAGTCGGTGGTGTCCGGGCTGCTGCTGCAGCCTCGAGCGCGGCGCCCGCGAGACGGCTGTCGGGAACGCTGTGACGAGCCGAGTAGACCCAGCTCGGGGAGCGGTATCGCGCATGGTGCAGATGGGGCAGGCACGGGCGAGGCAGACTGTTGACACGCCACACGGCGGCGGCCGGTCGGTGCATCATCGTTCGTTCTGCGCGGGCCGGTGCGGGCGCCGCGGCGGCTCCGAAGGTTAGTCGGTAATCCTGTGTCGGCGTGGAGAGAAGGAATGGCGGCTGATTCCACCGCCGCTGCCGCAGCGGCACGGGGACCTGTAAGTCGCCCCTGACGTTAGTCGAATGAATAGGTGACTCATCGGGTAGTTGGTGCTGGGGGGAGGCTAGCCCAGTTCTGCGGCCCACTTAGTCCAGCAGAACCCCCGGCGGCAACCGGCTGGTGGGCTCGAGAAAGTGGACCGTTTGACGATCTGGTGAGTGTGGGCTCCAGCAGGTTAGTAAGGGAGACGTGACAGACAGCGGATAGGTATGGTATGGTCAGCGGACCGGTGACAGTGGGCGCTGCTCCATATCCAGCCAGCGTGCCGCGGAATGGGTACGGTCAGCGGACCGGTGAGTGCCAGACCCAGCGGGCAGAGGAGGGCGCTTCCAGTCCGCGGGCCGTGGAAGTGGGACGGTCAGTGGACCGGTGAGTGTCACTGCCAGCGGGCAGAGGAGTTCGCTTCCAGCCAGCGGGCCGTGGAAGTGGGACGGTCAGCAGATCGTTGAGTGTCACTGCCAGCGGGCAGAGGAGGGCACTTCCAGCCAGCATGCCATGGAAGTGGGACGGTCAGCGGACCGTGGAGTGTCACTGCCAGCGGGCAGAGGAGGGCACTTCCAGCCAGCGGGCCGTGGAAGTGGGACGGTCAGCGGACCGGTGAGTGTCACTGCCAGCGGGCAGAGGAGGGCGCTTTCAGCCAGCGGGCCGTGGAAGTGGGACGGTCAGCGGACCGTTGAGTGTCACTGCCAGCGGGCAGAGGAGGGCACTTCCAGCCAGCGGGCCGTGGAAGTGGGACGGTCAGCGGACCGTTGAGTGTCACTGCCAGCGGGCAGAGGAGGGCACTTCCAGCCAGCGGGCCGTGGAAGTGGGACGGTCAGCGGACCGTTGAGTGTCAGTGCCAGCGGGCAGAGGAGGGCACTTCCAGCCAGCGGGCCGTGGAAGTGGGACGGTCAGGGGACCGGTGAGTGTCACTGCCAGCAGGCAGAGGTCGCATCCAGCCAGCGGGCCGTGGAAGTGGGACGGTCAGCGGACCGTTGAGTGTCACTGCCAGCGGGCAGAGGAGGGCGCTTCCAGCCAGCGGGCCGTGGAAGTGGGACGGTCAGCGGACCGTTGAGTGTCACTGCCAGCGGGCAGAGGAGAGCGCTTCCAGCCAGCGGGCCGTGGAAGTGGGACGGTCAGCAGATCGTTGAGTGTCACTGCCAGCGGGCAGAGGATGGCACCTCCAGCCAGCGGGCCGTGGAAGTGGGACGGTCAGCGGACCGTTGAGTGTCACTGCCAGCGAGCAGAGGAGAGCGCTTCCAGCCAGCGGGCCGTGGAAGTGGGACGGTCAGCGGACCGTTGAGTGTCACTGCCAGCGGGCAGAGGAGGGCACTTCCAGCCAGCGGGCCGTGGAAGTGGGACGGTCAGCGGACCGGTGAGTGTCACTGCCAGCGGGCAGAGGAGGGCGCTTCCAGCCAGCGGGCCGTGGAAGTGGGACGGTCAGCGGACCGTTGAGTGTCACTGCCAGCGGGCAGAGGAGGGCACTTCCAGCCAGCGGGCCGTGGAAGTGGGACGGTCAGCGGACCGTTGAGTGTCACTGCCAGCGGGCAGAGGAGGGCACTTCCAGCCAGCGGGCCGTGGAAGTGGGACGGTCAGCGGACCGTTGAGTGTCAGTGCCAGCGGGCAGAGGAGGGCACTTCCAGCCAGCGGGCCGTGGAAGTGGGACGGTCAGGGGACCGGTGAGTGTCACTGCCAGCGGGCAGAGGTCGCATCCAGCCAGCGGGCCGTGGAAGTGGGACGGTCAGCGGACCGGTGAGTGTCACTGCCAGCGGGCAGAGGAGAGCGCTTCCAGCCAGCGGGCCGGGGAAGTTGGACGGTCAGCGTACCGTTGAGTGTTACCGCCAGCGGGCAGAGGAGGGCGCTTTCAGCCAGCGGGCCGTGGAAGTGGGACGGTCTGCGGACCGTTGAGTGTCACTGCCAGCGGGCAGAGGAGGGCGCTTCCAGCCAGCGGGCCGTGGAATACGATGGTCAGCGGACCGGTGAGTGTCACTGCCAGCGGGCAGAGGAGGGCACTTCCAGCCAGCGGGCCGTGGAATACGATGGTCAGCGGACCGGTGAGTGTCACTGCCAGCGGACAGAGGAGGTCGCATCCAGCCAGCGGGCCGGGGAAGTGGGACGGTCAGCGTACCGTTGAGTGTCACCGCCAGCGGGCAGAGGAGGGTACTTTCAGTCAACGGGCCGTGGAAGTGCGACGGCCAGCGGACCGGTGAGTGTCAATGTGTATGGACTTGGTGCCGCACACGGTGGCCGATCGCGACCGGCCGGTGAGCCGCGCCGGTCAGTCGGTGCCGGGGCCGAATACAGGCTGCGTCGATGGACAAGTCTCTCAGTACCTTACACTACCTTACATTGCCGCACGGCCGCTGCCGGACATGAGGTGTGCATCCTTGCCCGAAGTCTCCAGAGCCAAGCAAATTTTCACAGCGGTGCTGACATCACGGGATCCAATGCTGTCCTGAGTGAAGCGTCTTGCCCAAAAGGGTGGTTGGCCACTCAGCACGGACTTGGAACTGTCTGCATTTGCTGGTAAACGGCTGGAATTGTCCATATGCTGCGTCGTGCTCATGTGGGGCACCGAGTCGTTATTCCGAGTAGGGCACGTGAAGCGATCTTGGCCGAGCTCCACGTGGCGCAACCTGGGGTACGTCGCATGAAGGCTCTAGCAAGAGGCGGCGTCTGGTAGTCGTTCATGGACAAGGTCATCGAGCGTGTCGGGAGCCTGTCGGGCGTGCCAGGAGAGCAGGCCAGCACCTGATCGCGCTGCCCTCCGCATGTGGCCCTGGCCGGATCGTGCCTTGTCACGGTTACACATCGACTTTGCAGAGCCCACGAAAGGAAGAAACGTGATGGTCGTGGTAGAAGCTTATTCTAAGTGGATTGAGGCAGAGTGCTGCACCACTGTCAGCTCCAAGTCGACGATTACTAGGCTGGGAGATGTGTTCCCGATGGGGATTACCAGACACGGTTGTGACTGACAACGCCACATCATTCATCTCATCCGAGCTTCAATGTTTTTTGCAGGAAAATGGCAGACATCACAGGACGAAAGAACCTCGCCACAGCCAAGGCAACGGACTGGCTGAGCATGCTGTGCGTGATGTCAAGCTTGCCTTGCAGAGGTCTTAAGACAACTGGGAAGATGCTTTGTCTCGTTGGCTGCGCCGTCAGAATATCACACCTTACAGCACGACCTCAGTTTCTTCCTCAGAGCTCATGGTTGTACGCAGCATCCGGAGCCGGCTGGATCTCCTTCACCCGGACATGCGGAAGGGAGTGACTGAGCAGCAGGTGAAACAGAAGGAAATCATGAAAGCAAGGTAAGATCTGAAAGAAGATTTGGTGTGTCATATCTCGTGTTTTTTTCAGAAACACGGTGTTGGGTCGCCATGGGCTGCTGGAGCGGTCGTTGGTGTCGACGGGCCAGTATCGTACGCGATCGAGCTAGAGGATGGCAGGATATGGCGACGGCATACTGATCAGTTGAGACGTAGACTAAACGGAAACACGTTTACAGAACCTATGGTGTTTTTCCGGTGACGATCGGACGTCTAGAAGCTTCGATATTGGCGAAAAACTTGCTGAACTTGCAAAAGTACTTGGTACTTGCTTGCTACTTGCGAAAGTACTCGGTACTTGCCAAAGTACTTGGTACTTGCTTGGTATTTGCATAAGTACTCGGTATTTGCTAAAGTACTTGGTACTTGCTTGGTATTTGCATAAGTACTTGGTACTTGCTTTGTACTTGTAAAAGTACTTGGTACTTGCTTGGTACTTGCGAAAGTACTTGGTACGTGCCCCCCCGTTCCCCGACTCTACTCCCACCCCTACCCCCTCGGGATAATTCCGGGTTCGTCGGGTAGGAAAACTTGTCACTCTTCCCCCCCCCCCCCAGAGCCATTTGGTATCGATCGGTGTTCGGTCGTCAATAAGCCGGGATATGCACGGCGAATTATTTCAATCGGCGCCGATCAGAATCTTCAGGACGGAGGTACCCACACTCATTCCTGGCCGTATCTCACTTTTCCGAGATTTACGTCAAACTACGTATTTAAAACTACATATTCTACAGCCGAATCTTCAAACTGAGGGTACCTCACTCACAATCGCACGTGATTCACC